TCTCTCTCACACTGTTACCTCCATGGAGACCTGACTTGAATAGTAGTAATCCGTACCAAGTGAAAAAAAAAAGCGCCAAGGACTTAGGGGCAGGGCTGTGAAAAAACAAAATAAGCTATTGCTTATTTTGTACAGTAGTGATAGAGCTGTAAGAAGTTAAGTAACTGTGCATATGGGAAGAAGGGAGGGGAAAGGACAGGAAGCTGATTTTGTTTGAGATTTTCTTTCATTGATTGGGGAAGAGACACAGCTTTTCTAACATAGAGGAATTGTCTGCACCTGATGGTTTTGAATAGTTTACATAGCTTATTTGCTACAGTGTTTAAACTCTTATCTCTCTTTCTCTCTCTCTCTGAGCAAAGAGGAACAAGTGATTGTACCTGTCCACGTGCGTAGACCCCCTATCGTGCTGTTCCAAACAAACAAAGCAGGCCCAACGGTTCATGGTCCTTTGGACACCGTACAATAAAGGCTTGTGTGTTGTTGTCCATCCTTGCTACATGTATAATTTTCAGACCTGGTATAGTGACATTGACAAAAGGATAATATGTTATGGAAGCCTCGGTAAAAATAAAACAACAACAATGCAAGGTTTTCAAAAGCATCCTAAGATTCAACCCCCTAACTAAAGGACCCCCTCCCCTCCGCTCTTGCTTGGTTCAAGATAAACATCTTCATCCTCTTGCAATCTCATGACTCCCAACATTTTCTCTCCCTTCTTCCTTGACTAATTTTATGAACTTGTAATGCTAAACCTGAATTCTAGGGCAAAGTTGTGCACAGAATCACCCTAGCACCGTGCAAAACAGCACCGTGCAAAACAGCAGTGACAAACCAAAAAAACCAACTGATAATGGGATCAATGTTCTCTTTGCTCCGAAGGGAAATGTGGGATCAGAACTGATAAAATTGCTCTCCCTACGCCTAAGCAGCTTGTACATGGTGATGTGACACTTTATTAATGATAATTTGCCGTCTGTAGGGTCCTTGACCGTTCTCGTTGGGGAGATGAATGCCTCTATACCATCCCTTCTCACCCCCGAAAAACATATAATAAACATAACCAGTACATTATCGGACGATCATTTTCTTTAATGTTTCCCTAGCTGCTTCCCTGTCGACAATGGCATCATCTCACTTTCAATCCTATGGGAAAAATCTCAGCATCAATCAGTGAAGACAGTTTTGTTCCAGGATTCAATTTTAGTAAAACAAAAAATTAAGACTGTAATAATGTTTAATGATAGAATCCTTTTACGAGTTTATCTATTAAGGATTTAGTTCAATAATAAATACATATATTTATCATTTAAAGAACATGTTAAATCTCTTTTCTTTGAGAATTAAGGGAAAAAAGAACACCCGAGACATAATTTAGCAGTAACAGTAAAAATTTCTTGGCCAAGGATAAGACTTGTCCTCATTGAACATTGATTCCCACATTTACATTGCAATCTTGGTAAAAGAATAGCGGAAGGTTGAGTGCTTAAATGTTTGGGTATTTGTTTCTATGGACAGTTCAGCTCTGGAAGCAATAATGATTTCAGTTTTGTGCTCTGTAACCCCATGACTGATGACACTATGAAGTGTGATGGTTGTGCAGGGAGCTGGACTATACAAAGATTCTCCTGACACAGGAACGAAAACTGAAACGAAACACTAATGAATGCCCAAGGAGAGATGACAAGTTTTCATGGAAGCCAAGATATCGATGGCAGATACATTTCTCAGAACAGAAACAAGACAGGGAATTCATGTTACAACTGATTTGGCCCAATTACAAAAGAAACAACAAAAACTACATGAAATAGGGGAAGCACGACAAGGACATGGAAGAGAGAGTCATGTGGCTCTCCCGAACTGTAGGCAGTTCGAGTTCCCCACCACTAGGAGACAGAATATCATCATGTCAATACTAATAGCAATAGAAACTACAGAAGAAATGTAGGGATTAGTAACATTTTTATGCATCCGGCAGTTTCATATGTGCTTTCGTGTCATATGGGCAGTAAGCATGGGAGAACCAATTTATATTGCAGATTCTAGGCTATGGTGCCTCCAACGACGAGCATATCATACATGCTTTCAAATGCTTCACATAAACTAAGCAAATGACTATCTAAGCAATAGATTTCATTAAGGTCAAAGTTCAGATGCCCATATCACTCATTGTGGTGTCCTTGATACAAAGGTTAGAAGATATAATATATGAAAGCAGATTAAATTATACAAAGTTGTGTACAGACACCTGTTATTTGTTAACAGTCAGAAAATATGAAAGAAATCAAAGATAAATGGCCATGACCAGTTGTTCAAATTCAACCTTCTGAAATGTAATATGTAAATATTATGTTACAGACATTGCTCCCAACACAAGGTGAGGCAGCAGGCTCCAGAGTTCCGCAAACAGTCTATCTATGATGCATAACCAACAAGGGCTGAAAAGATGAACTAAGTAGAAAAATTAAAAGCTTTGATTTTCCTTTTTGTGGGGGGGTGGGGGAGAGAGAGAGAGAGAGAGAGAGGGGATGGAGATGAGAGAAGGGAGTACAGAAAATAAAGATGGATGAAAAGCATTACTAAGATGAGAGGAGTAGACAGAAAATAAAGATGGACAAAAAGCATTACTAAGATGAGCGAAGGGAGGACAGAGAGTAAAGATGGATGAAAAGCATTACTAGCTAAAAAAAGAAGAGACCTGTTGATTTCAAAGAGAAAAAAGAGGGGAGGGAGAAATGTGTCTATGCATTTAAAAGACAGGCAGTTCAACTTCGTGTAAAGGCATAGGCCATCTTTGGCGCTTTTAGAAGCCATCAAATTAATAGTCCTAAGATGCCTTAAAATTATGAGAAGTACATGGCGTGAAAATTCCTAAAACTGTCTACAACAACTCACATTCAAACTAAAAGACAATGCACAAAAATGGACCAAAAGATAAAGGCATCTCATAATTTTCAGTTTTTCCATAATTCAAAGAAATTCCAAAGGCATCATGATTTCATCAGCTTTTTACGAGAATATGACTATCGTTTTTTTTGCATATGAACAAGGCCAAGAGGAGAAGAAAAGATAATCTGCGGACCTTAATCCTCCATTGGAGGGATAATAACCACTGGCAAAACCAGATCTGCTATTACACATGTTGAGAATGATCTGTGCTGCTTCCTTCAGAAAATAGTTGACAGAACTTTCAACAGATTTCACCATTTTGACATACAGTAATTATTTTAACTACATTGGTTCTCGTAATCCCTCAAGTCCAAGTATCCTCTTAGCAGCATTTCTTATTTCCAGCATGCTATATTGGTTCTAATAATCCCTGAAGTCCAAGTATCCTCTTAGCAGCATTCTCTTATTTCCAGCATGCTAAAACCCCCGAGTTGATAAATTAGAGTATAGGCCACCTTACCATGAATAGAAATAATACTAATCTGTTGGAATAAGGCGATCTCCACATCAATTACAATCAAGTCCTGTACTAAAACCCCATGAAACATCTAAGGCACCACCTTCAATGTATACCAAGCAGCCCTCCAAGTAGAAGGCATTATAATGACACGAGTCAAAATTCCTAGCAACGATAAAAACAAAGCTAATAAATAAAAGTAAAAACCAAACAATTAGTCATTGTACTTATCCCTGTCAAGTTACAGAGTATCATATGTCACTCACAAAATAATTCTTTGTAAATTAATCATGTGTAATAGTATTTTACATTATACCTAAAGCAACTCGACTGCCAAGTGTCAACAAACCGTGCCTTTCTGTCCATTACACCCTTACAAGGGCAAGTCCCTAGTTCCTAAGAAGAAAACATATATGAAATAGAAATAATAAGAGTGAGACAGCCGCCAAATAATGAATTTGTTAGTTTCTTGGGCATGGGGGAGGGAGTGGGGGAAAGAGAAAAAGAGTACTTCCTAACATGCAAACACACCCCCACACAAAAAGGTGGAGAGCCAGAGGAACCTCCACCACTATGACATAAGAAAGTACTGAAAAGCAAAGATTAAATTAAAGCATGATGATGAAATCTCCTATAAGAACAAGTAGTGCCTACTTGTAACCAAGATATCCCTCAGCTCAGTAGGCAGTTCATACCTCCTAGAACTGAAAGGGTCTAAACCATAAAATACACAACAAAAGATCTAGTATGAGTAGGATTTGGAAAAGAGAGAGAGAGAGAGAGAGAGTTTATTTAACAAGCTACTCTTATGCAGATTACCAGCAATCACTGGTTTACCACTTAGGGCCCATTATAGGGATGGCAGTGACAAGTGTATGAAATTTTGGAGGCAGGGGAGGTGCAATATGATATCACCTAAGTTTTTTGGTATAGAAAAAGGGAAGACTATGGGAGGGGGATGCGAGGAATATATTAACATTCTAGGTCCCAAATCTGGCAACCTTTAAGTTCTACTCTTTGCTTCTAACAGGTTTCAATACCTACAATTTGTTTCTATTTGAACAGCGGAAAGGGCAAATGAGATGCTTTACAGGCACCCCAGCTCCAGAAAATTTTCAGTTCTCAAAATCTTTTGCAGCTTCTGTTCTTGCTTATGCCTTTGCTCACACTTTTTATGACTTAGCAATCCCACCCAGTTAACAGCTAGTTTCAGCCTTATAAACAACATCAATAGACCCAATATAGTAAAGTGACAGTTGAATCTAAAGAGAGAAAATAAAAAAGTTAAGGAGATGGTTAAAGTAGATTTTTGAGCACCCTTTGAGAGTTTAGCACCATTGCATTTATCATTCATGCTAAAAAAGGAGCAAAAACGTTACAAAAGTAGCACTAGCCCTAGAAACAAATTTCAACTCAATCTCAGCAATGGAAACTACATATCAAAATGCTTCTTATGGTTTATCAATCCTTGGGTCTCTTGAGAGTTAATATAGTCACAGTACAACCATTTTCCTTTTTCATCTCATTACTCTATATGTTACTGAAAGATTTCAATTCATTCTATGACTATTTCCCTCAACATGGACACCGTTGGAGCAGCCAAATTTTGAAAATTGGAACCAGAGTCAAATTACCTTCTCAACTCATTGTTGGATTGCAGAATCCTACAATGCTAGGAGACTAAACTGATCAAGCTGTACATGATAAAAACATGACAGACAGAGTTTACCCTCCAAAAAAATGAGTTTATCAGCAAATGGCAGAACTGTCATCACAATACTTTCCACTCTCTACTTGTACATGGAGAGCCTCTTAGAATTCATAAATTTTGCCAAAACAGAGAGAGACATGTTCTCTATAATATCTTGAATATTGGGGAAATGTAAAAGCACTGAACTTCAACTATTCAAGCATAAACAACTTAATTGACTTAAAAGGTCCCAATGCAAGCATAAAATCTTACATCCCTTACCATATCTCATGCAAGAAAATATTCCAGCATAAGATTCCAATCTACTCAGTTTGTAACCTTTAAAAAGGCTTCTTTTTTGTTTTTTTGGATAAAATTAAGCTTACCTTGCACCTTTCCATGGCTGCATAAGATTCAATCTCCTCTATCACATAAATATCACAAAAACTATACATTCTTCCATGACCTAGTAATTATGAACAATTACCCAAATTTGACTATCAAATTATAACAAAAAGAACTGACAAAAAAGAAAAAAAACTTACAACAAAAAGGTCTATCTCCTTTGAACTCTTTGTAACCGCATCTCAATCAATCTAGCATTGAACTCTCCATCACTAACCTTTAACATCTTCGACAGAGGCAACTTAAACCCATGTTCCACCAAAGATCTATGCCTTGGCTTAATCTTTTTTTCTAAACTAAAGGAAAAATACTGAGGAAACCTTTTCAATTCCTCCAAGTCACCTTCCATTTCCTCCAAGAAAAACTGAACTTTAGGCCTCATATTATTCTCCACACTCAAAGTCAGCAACCCGGGTGACCTCACCACCATCCGGTTCACCGCCGGCTCGTCAAAACCCAGAGACTGAAGGAAGCTAATTTTCGGTTTCAAGGTGTTTTCCACGTTGGAAACCAAGAGAAGGCTAGTGTGGGAATTCAAAACAAGGCCAAGGGAAGTGAGGAACCGGAGGGCGGGGCGGAGTTGGGTGGTGACAGAGGAGAGCAAAAGGCGAGGGCAGCGGGAGAGGGAGAGAGGGAGGTGTGGGAGAGGGAGAGGGACCTCGTGGAGGAGGAAGTTGATGGGAGGGAGAGGGTCGGAGGTAAGGAGGAGAGGGTACATGTCAAGGATACGGCCGATGGAGGTGCGCGAGAGGCCGAAGGAAGACAGGGAGTGTTCGAGGGAAAGGAGAGAGGAAAGAGGGGTGGAACGGAGGGAAGGATTCAGGCGGAGAGCTTTGTGAGGGTCGATATTTAAGGATTGGAGGTAGAGGAGTTTCTGGCGGAAGAGGAGGCCGCCGTCTTTGGCCCTTGGCGGTGCGGTGGGTGGGACTATAAGGACCGGTTGGTGAGGGAGTTGGACTCTGCAACTGCAAGTTAGCATTTTTGTTTTTCCCGGTGTGGAGGAAGGAGAAAGCTTTTCGCGGATTTGCCTATCTACAAATATTAAAATTGAATAAATTCCATCTACAACCCTCACAGTTTCAGCTTTTTCAATTGCATCCTAACATTTCTTTTTCTTTTCAATCCACATAATTCAATATCTTTTTTCTCCATTAATGTTTTGTAGATAACTTATGTTATTAATTTTATTCAGTAAAACTATAAAAATATAATCAATTTAAAATTAATTTATTTATATTTAATAATATTTTATTTTTAAAAAATTTGTAATTTAATCTCTTTTAAAATTGAAATTATTTATAAAATATTAATCAATAAAGGAAAACATTCAAGCAGAATTATAGATTGTCTCTTTCAAAATTTAAGTATAAATTCAACTAGACTCGTTAGGTTAAATAGCATTTTATTTATTATAATTTTATAAATATTTTTTAATATTCAAAAGTATTTAAATAAAAATAAAAAATATATTTATTTATTAATAGGATAATATTCTAGAACTTTAAACACCCAAAACTAGTAAGTTTCTTTATATATATATATATATATACAAAGAGAGGGTCGAATTTCTAGTTATTTTTTATGTATCGAAAAATATTTAATTACACATTTGATATCTAAAATATAATGAAATTATCGATACAATATTTGAAAAAAAAATGTAATTAGATACTCTTGCTTTCTCATGTTTTCTCGTTCCTCTTTCTCCTTGATTTTTCTCTCTCCAGGTTTTTATTTTTATTTTATTTTTTTATTTCAAAAATAAAAAAATTTTAAAATCAAAATAAAATGAAATAGTATTTTAAATACGTGGTGATGTGATTGTTTGCGGTTTGATCGAAAAAGTACAAATTACTTAATTAAATTAAAATTTTAAGGAAATAACTGTGAATTCTTTAAGTTGAGTTACCAAATCAATAATTTTATCATATTTCAAGTCTCAGATAAGTAATTAACTTATTTGTTTGTTAACCAATGCTTCTCCCTTCTGAATGACGTACGAAACCATACTCTCTAGACATGCAAAGAAGATTAACCCAAAAACATATGACAGAACAGCAGTTTGATCTCCAAACAGATGTGAAAGTCGAACGTTTTAAGGTTTTAGTTTAATAGTTTTGCTGGCGCAAAGTGGGGTTTGGGGGTATTGGAGTTGATTGGTTGTCCTGACGATCCCTATTCTCTAGCTCGTTTCCCACGACCGCTTTTGCCGCTCACCCGGTCGTGTAAATGCAACCCTATTCCTATGCTCACCATTTCACACCCTGCTTTCAACCTTTCTCTCTCTGTCTCTCTCTCTCTCTGTCTTGCTCTCTCTTATCTCTTTGTGCCCTTTGGTTCTCTCTTCTTTGGCTCAATAATCAAACCTGTTCCCCCTCCTTCAAGACGTTTGGATCATGCACTTTCAACTCGTCGTTTGATTTTGCTCATTGGGTATACCTTTGTTTTCCTTTTTTTGATTCATGCAAATGAACCCAGCCTGATGTTTACATGAATCTTAAACACGTTTCGATCATGTTTGTTTTTAGCTTCTATAGTTATATGATATAAAGTCACAAAGAGATATTTCTGATAACCCCATTTCTAGTTGAGCCAAAGAAAGTGTTTTTGTTGTGTTTATGACATAAATTTCATTAGTTTAAGGATTTTTTTTCCTCTGTCTTTGCAAGCCTGTGGTGACTTGATTCTGGGGCAATAAATTCTGCTAGTTTCAATTTTACAGGCGTTGGTTGACGAGGAATGTGAAAAGTATATTAGTTGTAGCATATTGGTATATGGTAGCCCTTGAGCATTCGGTTCTGAGTATTTGAATATATATGCAGGATGGGAAGGGTTAAGCTAAAGATAAAGAAGTTAGAGAACACAAATGGCCGTCAGGCGACCTATGCCAAAAGGAAACATGGCATCATGAAGAAGGCTAATGAGCTATCTATCCTATGTGATATAGAGATCATCCTCCTTATGTTCTCCCCGACTGGCAAGCCTTCTTTATGCAGTGGGAAGCGCAGGTAATTCGATTTTTATTGGTGAAATTTTTGGTTCATGCACCTCATACTTAGCTTTAAATAGGATTTGATAGAAAGCATCGAATTGGGTTTAGTATAGGTGTAGAGGATGCTCCAACAATTTTCAAAGATATATTCTCTGATTTGCTGCATACAATGGTGATGTCAGTAAAGCACTGCAATAATCCGCTTAGTATAGTAATAATATCAATGTCAATGTATGTTACAGGGAATGAAACATCCAGGAAATTTGCTTATATGCCGGTGGTTCTTTTACCATTTTCTTCTTTTGGAAAGGAGATCTTTCAGAGGAATTACATGGTTGAACATTTTCAGAATTAACTTATAAGATATTGATAGATGTTGTTGCATTAACAATTTTTCCAACACTGTAGGTAGCTTGAAAAATTTGATTACCTAAGCAATGATGAGTTTTACAAGAATTTGATCTTCAGAAATACCATATTCTCAGGGGCAGGCAGGTTTTACTTTTTTACTTAGATTGCATTTCAGAACTTGAATTTGAAAGAAGGGATTTGGACGCTTCATTTTGGAACAATAATCGAGCAATGGCATAAATATTTGTTTTTGTTCTGGGCAAGTTTTCATATTCATAGAAACAACTGATTGCTGTAAATTAGTTTTGGCTCTGAGAGACACATGCCAGTTGCAAAAGCTGCTAAGGTGTCTGCAAGATATTATGAGTGAAGTAGGCAATGCGGATCCATACATAGTACTGATGTGGAGGAACTTAAGAGACTGCTTAAGATTTGCATGCACATCAGTTATTTTGATTCAGCTTTCATACGTTTTTTTCTACCTGCCAAAGTGGTTTTGGCAGGGTAAATTTATGCGGAAGGCTAGCTATTATCTATGATAGTAACATTCTTTTCATTCTGCTGTGGGAATTCAGTAGCATTGAGGAAATCATTGCAAAGTTTGCTCAACTCACTCCACAGGAACGGGCTAAAAGGTATGGTCAAATTTTCTGTGCTGGAAAATCACATTACTGATTTTTATTCTTAAGAGTTTAATCTTATATACTTATTCAAGTGGAATTGACTCACATTTTCATTCCTCTGGAACAGGAAGTTGGAAAGCCTTGAAGTAAGTCCTTCCTACAATCTACTGATCTCCTTTAGTAATGTTACTATCTGTGTTTATCAAATGTGTTTGGTGTTTGAAATGTCATCACCCTTATCAATTACATAATTTCTTTTCTCTTTGAGAGTCTAGGCACTGAAAAAAACATTCAAGAAGTTGGACCATGATGTAAATGTTCATGAATTTCTGGGTACAAGGTATATGACAGTCTTCTTCTTGGCACAATGCCTCTCAGTAAATTTATTCTACAAAATATTTTTAATAGGATTATGACTTTTTCCATTTTTTTTTTCTTTTTGCTTTTTCTTTTTCCCCAGTACGCAAACAATAGAGGTATGTATGGCATGATGACCTGTTACCTTAATGTATTATGATAATTTATGCTGTTCAATCATTCTAACATGCTTTTTGTATCTCCAAAATTGCTACGGGCAGGACCTGACTAACCAAGCAAGGTTATTGCAGACTCAGCTTTCTGAAATACACAGGAGACTGAGGTGAAGACCAACTAATTTTTTGACTGTAGAGTTTTAGTTTTGTGTCTTTGCTGTTAATATCCTTCAGTATGCTATCATTGGTCTTAACTTGTACTAATATTAACATTGGCTACTCAGCTGTTGGACTAACCTAGACAAGATCAACAATGTAGAACATTTGGGGCAAATGGAAGATACACTCAAAGAATATCTAAATCAAATTCGAGCCCGTAAGGTGTGCCTCTCATTTCTTTAAGTACTTAGATCTTTTGTAATGCCCTGCCAGGGGGCATGTGCTGGAGTTTGCTTATTTAACCAAGTTAAAAACAAATTAGTTATTTGCTGCAAGAAGTGAAATGATGGAAATTTCATAGCAGTGTGCAGACTGAAAACTACATGAACTTTTAATCTTCTTTCTAAATGCTTAGAGAATGAGTGCCGCATTTGTTCTTACACTTAAGGCTCTAACTTATCTACCTTCCTTTTGGCAGGAAAATTTAGGAAAGCAACAGCTTCTATCATTAGAATGCACAAGTCAGGTAAGAATGTGAGATGTCTGGGGAATATTTTCCTACTCAGTTTACTCAATGTCAAGAGAAAATAGTATCTTAACCAGCCTTTTCTTGCAGTTCCAAACTGAAATGCATGTACCCTTTAGAATGGGCGCTGAGCAACAGCTCCAACCTCTCGCATGGATACCTAATAATGACAGTAGACACATGGCCTTACCCGAGGACTCAAATTTGATTACCCACAGGTTGAGTGAACTTCCTAGAAATCTTAATACTACTAAATTTTCACTGATCTGTATTACTATCCCTAATTTTGATGGCATGTTTGTTTTAAATGAATCTTTTGTAAAACTTGACACGCATTAGTATATAAAAGAGTACACAAAATGCATGCAAATGGTTTATGTTTATTTCAATTTATTTGATGAAAAAGGCCTTCTGGAATTTATTATGATGTTGATATGTAATTCCCCAGGGATGTGGAGTGCTCTGCCAGTTCATCTTTTGGAAGTTATTCCGGTTACTTTGGCACTGCCAAAAGTTCTGAACTGTCTAGTTCTGGACAAGAAAATGGCATCCTCAACGATTTGAGTGGTAATGCATCATTGCAGCTGCAACTGGGTGGACAATACCCCTACTTCTCATACAATCTCAATATACTTAATGATGCCAAATTCCCACCGGTGGCAGAGATGAACTTTCAGGAAACTCCTGCAGATTATAATGTTAATGGGGTCCTAGAAGGTCCTAGAGCTGGATATGACACAACCCAAGGTAGTTGGGCTTCCAATTCTGGGCCTTGTTCTGTTACCATGTTTGATGAGCCTTTGTATTCCCGAGTAAGTATTTCCCCATAACACCCACTATGCTTTTGATTTCTTACGCAACGCTTCATGTTTCACCGGCTGTTTTATCTGCAGCTTCAAAATGATTGAGCAATCTATTGGTAAATATGTGACTCTGTGTGCGTGCAAATATATGTGAACAATATTGGAATTATCACAATATTGTTCTAGAAGAATATATAGGCTGTAAGCTTGCATTAATTTTCTTCATTCAAAGAAAATTTATGGAAAAAAAGAAGGATTGTGTCCGAGTATGCTTTTTCTTACCGTAATTCTATCTTCTATGTCAACGTTTATTCTCCTACGATGATAGGAAGAGTACATGGGATTTTTACCAGATGGCAAGCTACTAGATTAAGAGATGGCATAATTGACTACCCTTCTTGCTCTTCAGTTGTTCCTCTGTTCAGGTTTTTTAACCTGACTACAGGATTTTAATTTCATGTTTCTTATACATATACTGATTGTTTTTGTTGCAGCAACTAAACTGAGATTCAGGAAGAGTGATGCTACCATTCCATCCCATCCAACTGAGCAGGCTATGGAGAACCTGGTAATGTGCATGTGAAAAAATTTGCCCAATCCATGGAAATTTGTCTACTTGTCTCAAAAACGGTTTTCACTGGCATGCAAAAACTTGGAATCAGCCAATGAGATGTATAGCACGACTACAACAACATCGGAATTTGCCTTTTAATAGTGATGAACCTCAGAATTGAGTGGTGCTGATTCCCTATCAAATGAGGCACCACATGATCTGTTATAATTTCTGTATACAACAAATCATATTTTAGTAATAGGTTTTCCTGACCTATTTTGGCCTTCACCTTTTGATTTATAGACTGGCTACTTACTGCCTTCCCCTCCTCCCTGTCAATGTTTAAGCTGTAAATAAAACACATGTAGCAGAAGACATTGATTGTAAATCAAAACAAACAAACAAAAAAAAACCTATTATTTTGGTTTCTTCGATATCAAAAACCCATTCTGTTGTTGCCCCATGAATGCATGCATAACTCTTGTACTCTTCTCCTTATTAATAGCAACTTTAGCCTAGCATTGATCTTTACTCTTTTGGTTTTAACTCTTTGATCTTACCCTTGCGTTCTATCTGTATGAAACACTGTTCTTGACCATAAGGAAATTAGACTTCAGAGAGAAACTATGTAGTGTTGCCTTACACATTCGAAAGTTGATACCAGGTGGCATTAACCATAGCATCTTTGAAGGCATGCATGACAGCAACTCCTGCACTGAGTCTACATCGACATTGACATTAAAAAAATGTATGGTTTTGATGCCCACTGCTTACACCGTAGAATGGGGACTGGATGTCCAGAGACAGGGACATCCATCCCCCTTTCCCCTAGGCCAAGCTGGATCACACTACTTTAAGATGCTCTCCTAATTTATGAAATCATATCATTACTATTAGTCTTCTAGAATCTTAGACAAGATTCGTATCACGTGCTTTATATAAAAATAACGAAATAATATTTAAAAAAATTATTAAGATCTTACAAAATCAATAAAATTAAAAAAAAAAAAGAAATCAAATATACTTACAAAAATATAACAAATTTACGATATTTAGTCTATTAATGATAATTTATGTTCACACGAAATACAATAATAAACAAAATTCATTAAAAAAAATCATAAGCTAACAACTTTTTTTTTAAATTTAGACATTCACTGAATTCTCTCCCTGACTTATTTATAAGATTTGAGTAGAAGAATTTTATCATTAAGATTTTGATATCTTAATTTAACTAGAATGAAGACTATCTCAACAAAATATGCTAATCTAACTGAAATTCAAGATTATCCCAATAGTGATGGCAATGCAGATTCTCAACCTGAAAAGTCTCACCCCTTGAATATTCCCATGACAAGAAAAATATTTGACATGCTAGCCACCTGGATATTTGGCTAAAGAAGCATCTCCACAGCCCAGCTGGATATTGACATGGTGGTGACTTTTGAATGAAAAGGACACCCAGAAGCCATGGCTTTTAAGGTCCCCAGCTAACACAAATCAAACTTTTTGATGAAGCTCAAATGTTAGAAGGAGATGGACCCTTCTTTCATTCATCAATGAGATGATGGAAAAGTCAGTGTATCAATTAATTTCCATGAATACTGTTTGTTGTAGGGTTTATTTTTCTTTGTTGAGGGGAAGGTTGTGATTTGATGTAAGAGAAAAGAAAGGCACATTACACTTTTGCCAATGGTCCTTAACCTTAAGAGCTGTATTGTTTTTAGAACATGGGATGTTTCCAAACAAAAACATCATACAAATTGGGAAGTTTGTCTTTGTAGTGACCAAATGTCTTTTGTTTTTGAAAAGAAAGATATAAAGATTTAGAATTATTTCCACAAAGAGTTAACAATATACTCAAAATTATTATTCTAATAATTTACTATAAACAGCAATAACATGGTTAGTACCAATACCAAGAGATATTATAACACAAGTAATCCATGTCATTAATCACATACCAAGGTACTCTAATCGATTCTAAACCTTCACCCTCTTGGCAACATAGTCAAATCAAAGCTTGACTTTTATGAAATTATGTCATTGTGCTATAGTAACCTATTACAGCGAACCTTGGTACTGTATTTATTTATCACTGATATTATAGTTCATAATCAATTTCATGAAATTTTTTATACAAAGAATTTATTGGAGTGACAATTATAGAGCATGTAATTCATAATATTCCTTTCATACTTACAAGTACATTATTATTTATTTATTACATACTCACTCAACTAATAATGCCGTCTCAATGTGTAATACTTATACACTATCATTTAATAACATAATATCATTTTGTAAATGTGTAAATATAAAAGTTCAAAAACTTTGTAAAATAAATAGTTTTAAAATTCTTAATATTTTATTTATTAAAAATTTAAATTTTGGTGAAAATTGAGAAATGGGCTTCCGAAAAACCCGGCTTCAAAGCCCAATTTGAAAGAAATTGAAATTTCAAATTTTAATGCAAAAGAAAGAAAAAAAAAAGAAGAAAGAAAAGGAAAGTTAAAAGCATTATCTTTTTTGTTTTGTAATAAGCTGGAAACAAGGAAAAAGATCTGGTACGTCGGGACTCAACCAATAAAAAAGATACACGTAATAAAGCAAAAGATGCGGCGACTCACATGGGGCAACTGTCCCAAGATACGTGCCCATGACTTTGATTGTCAGACGGAATATAGAAAAAAATATCGTATCCGTATCGTTGTCCGATGAAAAGGGTAGACCACACACAAAACACGAACCGTAAGAGTAGGGGAATACCAACCGTAGATACGGTCTGAAGGCCACGTAAGTAAGTCGTCGTGGAGACCGAGAACACCGCCGATTTAATCAACTTTCACGTGGCTCGAGACTCTGTCAGGTCAGCGTCACAGTCACAGTATGCACCACAGAGAGAGAGAGAGAGATAGAGAGAGAGAGAGAGAGTTGACCCATCAATCACCACCGTCTACTTGATTTTTTTCCTTTTCTTTTTTTAAAATTAATTAAAATATTATTTATAATAATATTTTTTACCAAAATGATTAACTTTTTTTCTTTATTTCTTTCAATTTCAGACAAAAAAAAAACAATTGATGGGAAATAAATGAAATTTCCAAGAAACTTCATGATTGATTCTTCTCTAAAATTATTATTTTCAGTCAAAATTAAATTAGAACTATAGAAAATAAAATTTCTAGAGACATTTATATGTCCAAAAAATTATCTAAAATGTTAATTAATTATATTTTTAAATTTGAAAATCCTATATGATAATAATTAAATAAAGAAATAATTGCATAAATACTAGTAAAAGCAAAGATATTTGATTTTTTTTTTTGGGGGTTAGAATAGATTCTCTTTGTAGGAGCCACGTTAGGCAGCAGATTTGAAACTCGGAAGCAAATCTATAATGAAAGAGATGGCCAGGGAAGAGACAAGCCTAATGCAAAGAAACACTGATATGAAATGTCATCCATTTTTTTTATTTTCTTGCCAATTTTTCATAGTCCAGATAAGGTACAGTGGGACAAACACTAATTTGTTCCTTTATTAGTAAATTTTGTTCACATATTATCATTTATGTTGGCTAAGGATAGAATTTAAAAAAAAAATTCAAGTTTTAATTTTCACACCAAAATGGGGGGATTTTTTAGATCTCTGTGCGAGAAATTCAATGCATGTCACTTTCCCTGGAAAAATGCCAAGAAAATATTAGGAATTTAACCATGGTAGACCAGACAAATTTTTCGAATTTAATTGATTCTCTTTTTGACATGTCACCGAAATTCCAGTTAGATTTTTATCATATGAAGGAAAAGAAGGATGCAATTCTGTAATATTATCTTCTATTTTAAGGTATCGATTTTATTTTTGTGACAATGTATTAAATATAAATCCGATCATGTAAAAAATTACAAGTTGAAATGTCTAGAGAAATGGAAATTCCAAGAAATTGTTTGCAGGTTTCCCTAACTTATGAACTCCAAATTATGGCTTTTACATGGCTTCAAAAGCCATGTCCTGCCCATGAATGTGAACTTTTTATGTATAATATCAGTTCTTGAAAAACTGTAAATCTTTGCATGGATTGGCATTTTGGGTTTTCCTCCTTTACTTCTATTGTGAATGGTATTGCATCTATGGTGGTGAGCAAAGACTGCAATTTTAAAGAGCAAGCACAGCCAAGCTTTGTTGTCTAGGAGCTAGGAATTTCAGGAATATCAGTTCTTGGAACAACTGTGAATCTTGCATGGAATGGCATTATGGGTTTTCTTCCATCACTTCAATTGTGAATGGTACTTGCATCCTTTGGTGGTGTGAGCAAAGATTGCAATCTGAAAAGCAAACGCAGCCAGCTTTGTCTGGCAGCAGCTAGGTACTACAATAATTCTCCAATTATGGAATAAAATTGTAGGCTAAAGACCCTCGAACGTGTAAAGTTGGATAGACCAAATTGACATGGAAGCTCCCATGTAGTGATGAATCTTGCTTTCAGTCATGGGTATAGTCATGAGCAGTGAAGAACAGAAATGATTGGACATGGGAAATTATAAATCAAGAGTTTTACTTTCCAATACTAGATGGAAATTGCAACTTTACAAATTACTCTCATACATATATATATATATATAAACCCCAAGGACCATAATTCAGCCAAAGCTGATCGGAATGACCTTCCAAAGCCAAAACAATGCTTCTACATTCTCACCATCATGCCAAGGTGGCTAAAAATGAGAAAAGAGTACCTATTACTAGTTGGCGGGTGGTAAAAGACCACCTCTGCTATCTCCTGCTTTACAAACAGAAGGAAAAATAACCCTTAAAATACCTAAAAAAAAAACCAAAGTGAAAAGAGGCTATTTTAAAATAAGCCCTTTCTCACTTCTGACCCAAGAAGCCCAAGACATGGCCTCTTCATAAATAGTATAATCCCTAGCTAGGTGTACTAAAAGTCAAGCTAGCTAATACTTGGTATACGCTAGCATTTAATAAAGCGAGAAAAAGAGATGTGCTCGGTCTAGCGGATTTGGGCGCCAGTGAAGGTCTGCCCGAAGGACCAGCCAGCTGGGGCAACATTGTAGGAGACCACAGTACGGCCGTCGCTTGTTGTGACCTTAAATGAGAGGCTTTGGCCGTTGAGATAGGTGTTGCTTTGCCAGTTCTGGCCCCAGTTCCTGGACATAGGCTGCCAACCAGTCCTTGAGCCTTTGATGGCCACGGCATGCACGTCACCTGCACCGCCAACGTTGGTGATGAGGACTAGGTTAAAGTAGGAGTGGCCATTGATTGTGAACCTGATCCCTCCCCTTCTCCTGCATGGTACCCTAAACAAAAGAAAAAAACCAAAGGTTAGCCAAGTGATGTGAACTGAAGAGTAACTACCTGTTCAAGATAAAAACAAAGTATTCACTGGAGCAAAACTGTTAAAAAAAGAGTTCCATCCTCGTTTTACTGCTTTTATACAGGACATTGGACCACAAGATATGGGGAGCAGAGTTAAGGGTTTGTGTCAACTGCAGTTGATTTTGAAATTGCTGAGAATATTGGAAAGTCAAGGCTCATACAAAGACTGGGTAGAGATCTAACTAAACCTCTTTAGAAAGCTCAGTTAACAGGGGAGAAAAGGCAAATAGTGACAAAGATTAGAAAAAAGAAAACTTCAAGAAGACTACTAAGCATACCTTTTGTATGCAACAGGCACAATTCCAGCTCTGTATTGAGCGATGTGTTGGAAGACAGGCTGAGAGAGGTCAAAGTGATGCAGAGGAGGGTTGCACCAGCCTCCTGCATCGTTAGGGAGAGCATTGTTTGGAGGGCAGAAATTGGTGGCTGTGACCACAATGGAGCCAGGCAGGCACCATTTCCCATCATTCACGCACTTAATCTCATAGCAAGACCCACAGCTCAGCCCATTGTTGAACAGAGCTGTACTCAAAGCTGCAGTGTTTGTCCCATAACCCTGGCTATACAAGTTTCCATAACCACAAGCTCCACCTGCAAATAAGTTTAAGAAATCAGTCAAACGAGAGGCTCCTGTTTAGCTGCTTAACGTTGTACCAAAAATTTAGCTTCATTTTGGTGCATACCCATTGTTCCTGAAGCATCACTCCCACCATAGAAGGTCGCATGCGCATTAATCCAACCACCACCATCTCCATGAACAGCAGAGACCATTGCAAGAAAACCCACCAAGAAAAACCCAGCAAAAGCCATTTTCCTGCACAAGAAAGTGAACTCTTTTAAGCACATTGCTCAAAATGGTAAAACTTGCTCTGTTCTCCTTAAACCTTAAGAGTAGATGTTTCAAAAGGGAAAATGTGACGAGGATAAGAGGATTACATGAAGATTAGAGTGTGAGAAGCAAGAGGTGAAAAAATAATGTGAGGCAGTTGAGTGAAGCAAATGGGGATGGGGTGAGGGGGATTTATAGAATTTTTGGGAAGGTGGGTGGGAGGAGGGGCTGGAGACTATTTAGCCACCGTTACAAGTTACAACTTACACTAACTAACTCTTTTGAGCTATTGGGACCAAAAATTAATAGCCCAAATTTAAAAAAAATAAAAAGAAAGAATTAAGAGTACAAAAAGGTGGTGTCTTGTGACAGTGAAAAACTTGAAGGCACATGCTCGGGGGCTGAGAGAGAGAGACAGAGGCTGTTTTATGTGGCTTTGAAACCGCGTGGTTTTGTAGCTTTCTAAATCGGAAATTGCCCTTAAAATCTAAGTGGGCCATGCGGGTTTCTAGCCCTTGATGCCTTGAGCAACTTCCAAACCCACATGCAAAGAAGAAGCATCGCCCATTTGCCGCAAATGCCCTTTTCTCCCATTGTTTTCTCTCTGCAGCTCCTGCTCTGTTTTTCACCCACCGTCTGTTTATTTTTCCCGCCCTTTTCTCTCTCTCTCTCTCCTGTCTCTATCTGTCTTTTGCTATTTACTATGTAATATATTTTTACAGCTTGGGTTTCTTTAACCTTTTTTTTTTTTATTAATTGGGTCCTGCCATGGCACATGCTCCATTTGTGTGAACATCGACATTGAAGAACAGAGACAGAAATTTCTCTTTGGCGGTACGGACTGCGGCCGTTAAGTAGGACTTGAACGAGGGTGTGGGTGACTTTAATAAACCAAATCTTTTCTGGTATACGAATTTAAGTTGATTTATTGACTTCGCTATTTTCTCCTCTGCTTTCCCAAATTCCATTCCATCCCCTTCATTTACTCACCCATGGGACAATCCCTTTGCAATTCCATGTGCAAATTTGACCATAGTGTCAAGAAAACGTTTGAAAGTCCAGAGTCAGTCAGAATATCTTAATCTATGCTTAGTGTAATGGATTACTTGTTTATAGTAATCCTTGTATTGGTACAGGGTTAGAGGTTAAGTGCACATGGGCTGCTAACCTTTCATTTAAGCTACCCAGGGACTGATTGAACAGCAGAATCTCATCTCATTAAGAGCTGATTATCCATAAAGTTCCCAAATTTCCATCAACTGAACTATCGTTTATTAAATTAATCAGAGCAGATTTTCCTCATTGACGTTTTCTTAAGCAGACAGCAGCCGTGCTTGCTCTGTCAGCAATGGGGAGGGGAGCATAAATCAAGCCAGCTAGCGGATCATCCTAGGCAAATCATGATCTTCATAACAAGACACGATCCTGCATGCTGACAAAGGGATTAAAAACCTGGGTTTTGTTCATTGGCTCGCGAAACAAGAGGACCGTGATTCTCGGTGCTCATTAGTGAACCAAAATCAGGCCAAACTGGTGGGAAGTATCAAGGATGGTGTGCTTTTGCGTGGCTTGACTTAATTGGATTCTCCATGGGTTTAATTACCATTTTAATTCTCTTTTCAGTCACTGTTGAAATTTTTGCTTTTGGTTTTATCCTCTGTCTTCTATCTTCTTGTTGGTTTTTTCCATGGGAATGAAAATGAACAGCATGACTCACCTAGGTATTTGTACTTAGAATAATTAAGAAAATCTCTAATAAATGTGTGTATTTAGTGTATTGATTAGTGCAGGTTGACTAGAATATTCTTATTGGATATAATTTTTTGATTAAACAAATTTAATTTTGACTAAATTTTGTATTTAATAAATCACCATTTAACAATTTTAGTCAGTTATAGGCTCTTTTTAACAATTTTTTCTTTGTTTTTTTTTTCCATTCAAACTTACTTAAAAGGAAAGGTACCCTTTGACCAGCACAACAATCTCTAGTTGTTGCTAGTGTCACATTCCCAATTGTTGCAAGTATAGTTTACTTCTTCTTTCTTAAACAATGCTAATTATGAGCCGAGCTAGAACACAAAACGAGATGCCAGAGCCAGCCCCCCAACATGGGCTTAGCCCCATTTGTAGCCAGTCAAGGGATTAGGCGTGGAGCAGTTTTTCCTCATACTTGAAGTCAAGCTCAAGCTAACAACTCCAAAGCATACTGGCTCCTCTCTCTAGAAAGGTCAAACTCACTCCCCAAGCATTAAAAAACATATACACATACCACATACCATCTTGGGACTCTGCTGTTTAAAAAATATCAGTTAATGGTGTTGCTTCAAACTTAAAAATTTTGGGAGTTTAGTTCTCTTATATTGTCATGTTTTTTCGACCATTTTAGTTTGCCTGTTTTATTAGGGGAACACTAGCCAGGCAGGGAGTGGGAGACGAGGGAATTGGTTGAGGTTCTGGTTGTCTCGTACAAGTAAAAAGACTTTAGGTGCTTGTCGGGGAAGGTAGTGAGGAAGAATTAAGTAAAACTGTTAAACCTAACAGTTTGAAACTCGGAATAGTATTTGGCATTCGTTTGAAAGCGGTTTTCAGGGTTTGCTTTTACGATGCCAATGTTAGCGGCTGCACATGCAATACTTTTGGCTTTATTCTTGCTATTCAAAGCTCATTTGGCTTCCATTCATATCTATCTTTTTAGTCTTCTTTTACCCTTTTTTTTATTTTCCATTTTAAATAAAAAAATTTGAATAAAATGACCGACAATAACAAATCGAACAAATAAAAAAGTCTTAAAAATTGCAATCAGTGTGTATTTCATCAGTATATTTTATTAAATTGATTTTTTGAGAAGAAAATAATGATACGTTTCACATTTCAAATCATTTAAAATAATCGGACCACGTAATATCACAAAATTGAAGTTGACATAATCTCCCATAAAATCAAAAAAGACAAGAAATTTCAAAGGTGTAATTTTGAAAAAAAAAAAAGAAGAAAAAGACTTTTATATCTATTTGGCCGGCCAAACAATCACAACTAAAAAGTAATATTAGATAAAAAGGAAGGAGATATTAGTCATTTCGGAAATTAGGGCAATAAGATACCCTCACGAAACTTTAACGGCCAATAACCACCTTGTCGTTTGGATATGTGAAAATATCCCAACATCCTGGTCCATCTCAAACTGAACTGTTTTGTTCTGTTCTTCTTCTCTTTTTTGTTGTCTTGTCCGAAAGTGTGTTTTTTTTTTAAAAGATTTGATCTGTACCGTCCATTTCCACTGTTATCTTTACTGACCACCCCATGCCCTATTAGATATTTTTCTTCTACCTTTTTCCTGTTTCCTCACACATTTCACTGTTGCTTGGGATTCACTGGCCAGCCCTTTACTGCCCCAAATTCAGTATTTGGATACTCTGCAACTAAAAGTCAAGTGGAAAAATCATGGCAAATTTTGACCGAACTAGCTAACTTTCTATGTTTGATATTCTTTTTTGTTATTATTGAGCGTAATCTAATGTTGTTTATAATCAAATTTTGAGTCATTGCAGATTACGTTTGTAATCACGTTTAACGATTAAGATTAAATACAATTTCAATCCTAATATCAAACAAATAAAGTCAATCGTACTACTTAAACTAAGCTCAAGGGTAAAATGAATGAGGTTTTAGTTACTAACTTTCGAGTCATAATCCTACCTTCAAAACTCTCTCTCTCATAACAAGACACTGCTCGTGTGCTTAATCATGTTTAAGGGAGACTTGAAGCTCACATCAAATCGAATCTTCAATGGTTGGAGAATTGAAAAAAAATACAAATCTTCTTAATCAAAATGTCTCATTCCCTCTTTTCTTTTCTCTCTCTGCCTTTATCTCTGTACCTGCCTCTTCAACCCCCATGTGGTATGTTGTTAAAAGTGGTCATCATATGCCTAATCATTCTTCTTATGACTCTAAACCCACACCAAATATCCCCATGCCAGTTGCGAATTGTCTTTACTCAAACATGACTCACGCCCTTTGTTTCAAATTAAAGCTGTAAACAATTTTGTATTTTTGGGGGGGAAGAAAGGTAACCCTTACCCCGCCAGGCCAAAAAAAAGCTGGTAAGAATCAGACGAGAACCAGTTCCCAGATGGTGAATTGTCAACATATCCTTCTTTTTTTTCTTAATTCACTGCGCGTGAAGCTCAATTGTCCCAGCAGCAACTGCCAAGGCCATTGCTCACCTGTGCTCAGGCACTGCAGACCACAAATTCTATCTTACAATTCCCGAGTTATTGGAGAGCATCAACCACTCGCCTACAGAGGGGCGTGGAACGTGGCGTGGTTCATGCCCGTGATCAATGGAGTTTTTGCCTGGAAAAGAGTGACAGTTTGAAATCTTTAAGACTAGATATGCACTCCATTGTCTTTTAACTCTTCTAACTGCCTTGAGGGGGTAGCCAACCTAACTACCTTAGGATTCTTTAAACAAAAAACCCCCAATTGCTCTAAAAGCATTTCCAACTACCCATTGGATTTGGTGAAGAACACTTTGAATAAACTTCTGGTCTCTCATAATTAGCTTAAGCTTTTAGAGGGTTCCAACGATGAACCCTTTTCTTTTCCAGCATTAACTCATCAAAGGGTAAAGAATAAACAAGTTGTCCAGGGATTTTGTTGTGCCTTTGGTTCAATGCCGGCCGTCTGATTGGGAAGGGCCCTCATTGTGGGGCTAACTCCAGAGAATGTGCCTGCCGACACCAATGCTTGCTGCTGAATGATTTTCAATGCCATATTTTCTTCTCTCCAACTGTTTCTTTCTTCAAAGTGCAGCATTTGATTTTTAAATTTACGTTGATTCTGCTGTAGGATTTTGCTTGGAATCTTGCTTTTTAATTTTAAATTTGTTCAATCAACTGAGCAAACCCACTAACACCATACTGAAAAAAGAATAATGGGCCTACTTTTACTTTAATATTATATATATATATATATGCAAACGCAAGGGCAAGATTAAATGCATGAAACCCAGACTTTTCATTTACTTTTTCTTCTTATATGCTGTCCACAAGATTTCAGTTTTATCGTGGCAGAAGTCCTCTAGAAAAGGAAAAGCCACAACTCCACAGAGGAAGGAACCTGTAGTGAGCATGTAAACAATAGTCCTTTGCACAACAATATCATAAAATTTGAAGAAGAATAAACATTTAGAGATGAACAATTTTACATTTCAATCTAAGTAAAACTACGTATAAATGAGTTTCAATGTTGGAGGTAGAGTTA